ATCCTTGCCACCTTCTCCGCTGGCTCAGGGCTGAGGAACGGTGGGAAGGAGTTGCTCAGAGCAAATGGTTTTCCTGAGAGGTTCTGGAAGGGCGGAGATGGGGAGTGGCAGAGGGTGGGGGGGAGGCTGAGCCAGGAGCGGCTTCCTAGAACTGCATGCGGCAGTGGCAGTCAGGCGAGGACGGAGGCGCGCTTGGCCATGCTGTAGAACTTCCTCGGTGGATTTCGACTCCACGTTCTGCCAGTTCCAGGCTTCCCCGGTCTAGCGGGCCCGGGGCCTGGATGGCATCCGCCCTCTTACACATGCGCAAACTTATCTTAAAAGAGCTTAATCTAGGCCAGACCCCAGCTGGGGCGTTCCGCAGGGCCACTCTTATCTGGGAGGATGACTGATCCGACTTGAGCGATCCTGGGATGGCCTTGAAGTTGCTTGAGGCCCACAGCCAGAGGTTCTCAGGGCTTCCTCCCGGCTCGGTGCTCACACTTCAATCCTGACTGTGCTCGCAGGGGGGCGTATATGGTGCTAGCAAGCGCCCTGCCCCGTCCTATCGCTCCAGTCCTGCCTATATATTTTTTGTTTTTGCTTTTTGGGTCACACCCGGTGATGCTCAGGGTTTACTCCTGGCTCTGCACTCAGGAATCACCCCTGGTGGTGCTCAGGAGACCATATGGGATGTTGGGAATCGAACCCGGCTTGGCCGTGTGCAAGGCAAAAGCCCTACCCACTGGGCTATTGCTCCAGCCCCCCATAGTCCTGCCTAATTTTTATGAGGAGGTTTCTTCTTTTGGAACCTGGTCCCTTACTGTGGATTCTTCCTGGCTGTCGCCTCCTGTGTCCAGGCCGCCCATCTGGAAAGGTGCGTCTTCTAGTTCCACCAGTTTAAGTTTTGTCCTTACGCAAACTGCCGTCGGGGAGGTCTGTCAACTTTTGCTGTTGAAGGCCAGGGAGAAAATAGACTTTGACCATGGCAAGTCTCCCACTTCCACTTCAGGGCCGTAAAACGCTCCAGCGGACCACCCGGAAGAGAGTGGGGAGGTTGGGTTTCCACAAACGTCGCAGAGGTTGACACCTGTATTTTGTGTAGCTTTCCCAGGATGCGAAAGTCTTTTGAATTTTCTCCTTATTGAAAAGGGTAAAAAAAGCAATCTTGGCTTGTTTTTGAGAGGAACAGCAGGCATGTGGGATTTGGCTGTTGGGCTGATCTGTGCCAACACCCCTGGGCCAGGGGCTGGTCGGAAGATTAAAGCTTCTCCACTAGGTGGGATTTAGGCGTCTCCACTGCATGGGCACCAGTGAGAGCTCTGGCTGGCTGTTCCTGGGGTCCCCCAGCACAGATGGTCTTGATTTATTTCATTTTAGTTGATTTGGGCCACACCTGGCAGTGTCTGGGGCTCATTGCTTAAGTATCACTTCTGAGAGGCTTGGGGGATCCTCGGAGAGATAGGGATTGGACCTGGGCCGCTGCGTTCAAGGCCAACACCCCTACTTTGTGCCCCTGAAGATGGGGTCAATTTTTTTCCTTGAATGTAGGAGTCAAAAATCAGATGGGTTGGACACGTAATGAGAATTGGAGACAACCACTGGACTAGAGCCATTACCGATTGGATTTCATGGGATGTCAAAAGGCCGTGTGGCTGCCCACCTACGAGATGGTCAGACTTCTTCATCAAGACCCTGAACGATCGGTTTGAGGCTCTTCGTGTTCCTAGAACGAGCAGATGCCAATGGCTACATTAGCACGCGACAGGGATGAATGGAGACGTTACTGGCGCCCGCTCGAGCAAATCGATGAGTAATGGGATGTCAAGTGATTAAGTGAATGTAGGAGTATTGCTATTTATTCAGCCATTGATTACGATGATTGAACTGGGCATGAACACCACATTACTTTTTAAAATCTTTTAAATTGGGTATCATTGAGATACACCATTACAAAGCTGTTCATAATTGGGTTTCAGTCATACAATGACCCAACATCCATCCCACCACCAGTGTACATTTCCCACCACCAATGTCCCCCGTTTCTCCACCACCATTCCCCAACCCCCACTACCCACACCCCCAGCCTCCCTCTATGGGAGGCGCTTTCCTTCTTGCTCTCTCTCTCTCTCTCTCTCTCTCTCTCTCTCTCTCTCTCTCTCCTTTAACTTTTATGTATTATGGATTACAACACAGGTGCTAAGAGGTCATGGTGTTTGTTCTGGGCATTCGGTATTTTTATCGGGGCGGTAAGGCTGGAGTAGCTTTTCAATTGGGTGGCAGCTTTGGGGTGTGGATGTGAGTGCCAAGGCTTCCAGAAGTACAGGGAGATGAAGGGAGGTAGTCCGTCCTGAACCCGAGAAAGCCTGGAGATTTCAATCACAAAACCCACACACCCAAATTATCAGCAGATTATATCTTGGTGAGGTCCGTCCTGAGATGGAGGAGTCAGGCCTGGAGTATGGCGGTGATTTTGGATTGTGAACGTAAGTGGCTACCGCGGGCTCTGCTTGGGCAGGCACAGGCCACCCCCCCCTTCCGATTTATTCCAGTCTATTCATCCATGCACGGTCCGAGCTTAACTGCGGCTTTTGATCTTTTTCAAGATTTATTTATGGGTCTCTGAAGCAAAGTCGGGAATAGAGTTTACAGGGCGGCACTGGAGTTGGTTCATGGGGGTCACAGCCAATGCTTTGATAAAGGTAAAGGTAAAGGCCTTCCCGTTGTTCAACGATTTGCTCAAGCGGGCCCAGTAACGTCTCCATTGGAGACTTTGTTGTTACTGTGTCTGGCATATCGAATACGTCACGGGGAGCTTGCCAGGCTCTGCCGTGCGGGCGAGATACTCTCGGTAGCTTGCCGGGCTCTCCGAGAGGGGTGGAGGAATCGAGCTTGGGTCGGCTATGTTGGCTGCGTGCAAGGCAAACGCCCTACCGCTGTGCTATCGCTCCAGCCCTAGTGCTTTGATGGGGTCAGTTTTTTTTTTTCCTTTTTGTGTCACACCCGGCGATTCTCAGGGGTTATTCCTGGCTTTGCACTCAGGAATCGCTCCTAGTGTTGCTCGGGGGACCATATGGGATGCTGGGAATCGAACCAGGGTCGGCTGCGTGCAAGGCAAACGCCTTACCTGCTGGTGCTATTGCTCCAGCCCCTGATGGGGACAATTTTAAGGCTGCATTTTCCTCCCTCATCATGCCTCTTCTGCAGAAGTAAATATGCCAGCATGTGCATGTGTGTCTTGGTTCAGTGCCTAAGTGCTCCTCTGGCGCAGGGCAAGTGAATGGCCTAAGAAACCTGGGGTCTGCAGAATAGCGGGGCCACAGCTGCGAGCTGCAAGAGTTGCCTCTCCCTGTGTCCCTCATCTCACTCCCTTCCTCCTCCCTTTCCCCCTCCTTCATTCTTTCTTCCCTTAATTATTTCTCCCTACTTCATTATTTCCTTCCTTCATTCTCCCTCCCTCCCTTTTCTTCCTTTCCTTCCTTCTTTCTCCCTCCCTTCCATCCTTTTCCATTCATTACTTCCTTTCTCCCTTCCTTATCCTCCCTCCCTCCCTCCCTCCCTTCCTCCCTCCATCCCCTCCTTCTTTCTGACCCTTTCTTCATTACTTCCGTCTTTCCTGTGACCAATGAATGACTAGAGCTGTCCCCCGACTGACATGCAGGCCTCTCAACCCTGTCATTTTCTTCTTGGCACCATGTTCAGTGGGTCCAGCTAGGAGGCGTGGCTCTCAAGTCCACGTTCCCCGGCGGTCACCTGCCAGCGGTCTTAGTGACCGCCACTCTGCCACTATGGGGCCACACTCCCCTCAGGTCTCAGGGCCTCTGCTTTCCTCCCTTTCCCTTGTTAATTACTGACGCAGCTGTGAAGTTGCGGTGGCATAAAAAGGGACAAATGTCCCGGATGTCTCACGTCCCTGAATGTGCATTCCACCGGCACTAAGGGTTTCTGGAATTCTCCAGCCAGCAAGCAGCCACTGCTCTGGGCCCCGGGGAGCCCCAGGGGGGCTGGGGAGCTCCTGGGAGTCTGGGGCAACCCAAGGCTGACCCCCGGCCTCCACTATTGCTCAGGGAGGTGGTACACACAGGGGGGTCTCTGGGGAAGGGGTAGGCTCAGTGGGGGGGCGACCTTCCGTGGGGCTGTGGCTGGGGCAGAGATGGGCTCCTGGAGAGGCGCTTTCTCTTTGTCCTCGAAAGCGGGCTGCAGTGCAGTGTTGGGGAGGCCTTGCACGTCCAATGCGTGGGCGAGAGAGGGGGCGTTCACGCGAAGGGGGCTGCAGCTGCTGGCGATCGGCCAGCACCTTCACGGAGGGGCTCTGCAGACGTGAACTGGCGCTTCCTGTGCATCGATCACAGCCTTGGGATAACGCCCCCGTCCACCCCCCCCCCCCCAGCTGGGCCCGTCCCCGCCTTCTCGGCATGTTTCCTCCGGACGTGCCGCAGTTCACCAAGCGGCCCGTCACGGAAAGGCACCCCCTCCTTCTCTTTCCCCCAGGAACCCCTGGACGGGGTTGCGCTCTGGCTCCCAGGAGGGACGCGCAGGCGCCCGCAGAGGCGGAGCGCGGCTGGCCCGACCCGGAGGTGCGGCGGGATGAACGCCCGGGAACAGCCTTGGCAGGACACCCTGGCCAGAAGCGGGCAGAGCTGTGTGCAAGGTCACCCAGCTGGCCGCGCACAGCTGGCGTGGGGGCTGCCCTTCCCCGGGTCCTTCTGGGGGCTTCCGGAAGGCGTCAGGGGGGGGGAGTCCGGGTGGAAATCGGCGCCCGTGGCCGACGCCTCCCGCGCTCCGGCCCCTGACAGCCCACTGCTGGGGGGGCCCAGCCCAGGCACTTCGGTGGCCGCGACCCGGTGGGAAAGGCCGGGAGGGCGGTGAGCCGGCTCTGGCCCCGCCCCGCCCCGCCCCCTGGACTAGTGGCCCCGCCCCCAGCTGCAGGCGCTTCCCGTGGCCCGGAGAAGGCGCCCAGCAATGGGGACGGGGCGGGGGCGGGGCCAGCGCTGGGGGCGTGGCCCTTGCGGCGGGCCTGGCTCCTCCCCCGGCCCCGCCCCCGCCGCGCCCGCCCCGAGCGCCCCCTCCGGCGCGCTGGTGCTCACTGTGGCCTCTGGGCCCCTCCGCCCCGTCGCCACCATGCGGGCCTGGCGCGTGGCCTTCGTCGCCGTCTGTCTGTCCGTGTCCTTGGCCGCGGTGGTCCCGAGAGGTAAGGTGGCGGCGGGGCGCGCGGGGACCCCGCCCTGTGGGCCCGCGGGGCGGGGGGCGCGGCGCCGTGGTGCGCATGAGCGGCCTGTCCCCCGCCTCCACGGGCCTGCGGTGGACGCTGCGGGCGGCCGGGCGGGGCCGTGCGGGGCCGTGCGGGGCGCGGGGGTGGGCGCGCGACCCCGGAGCCGCGGGGTCCCGCGGATCGCCAGCGGGGTGGCCCCTGAGTGGGACGCCCGGGCCGGCCGGGGGGCACCGCCCGGGCCCGACAGCTGTGCCCGCACGTTGCCTTTGGGAGAACCTTGAAGGCAGCGGCCAGGCCATCTGGGGCACCTGCGGCGGCCGCGCCCGCGGGGTTGCGGGTGATGGGGACGTGCAGGATGGGCTGGCTGGGCCTTAGGTGCCGGCTGGCGTCCCCCCCGACTCCCCTCGCTGTCCAGCCTTTGGGGCTAGGTGGCCAAGGATGGGAGAGAGACATCCTGGCCAGTCACTCCTCCTGGTGTGGTCCAGGGCGCGGCAGCCTCTCAGGCCCGTCCCTGACCTACTAAGTGAGATGCTGCGTTTTCTCCATGATCGCCATCCCTCCCCCCCCCAACATTCGTGTTTGAGAAGCATCTTTTAGAACATACGCAGCTCGGAGTTAAAAATAGGGTCTTCAAAGTGTAGCAGCGGAATCTTCTTACACTTATTTATATCGACGCCCAGAAAGGGGTTGAAGAAAACGCTAATTATACCCGGAATCGTGCACGGCGCTTCCTGACAAGGAAGGCGGATTCACCAGCGAGAAACACATGAGCTCAGCAAAACTGTCGTAGCACCCAGTTTGGGTGCGATTTGTGCTACATCTCCCGGCACGCTGAGAAGTGCTTCTCCCCAGGGCATGTTGGGAAAGGATGAGGAGAGGGGGTCCTGCTGGGCAAGTCTCGGCTTGGTCTCCAGACTGGGGGAGGGGGGGATGGCAGATGACCTGTTTGACATTCTCCTAAGGGCCCAGGTGCAGTTCTAGACACTGATGATGTAGCTGTAACAGAACTAGGACTCTGCCCTGAGGGAGCACTCCTGGCTGGCGTCCTGGAGGTGGTGGTAAATGAACTCAAACATTGCAGCCTGCACCATATTCACGCCGTGACGGAAAATGAGAGCAAGTTACAGCTGTTGAATTTTTCTGTTTCATGTTCCTCTTTGCACTGAAAAAGGTTTCGACTCGGATGCCTTTGTGGACAAGTGGAGAGTCATTTGGTTGGCTGGTGTGCACTGAGAGGGAACATTTGGCAGGGGAAGAAAAAGCCCTTAGAAAAGGGATAGTGCTGAGGGCCTGCATCTGGTCCCCAGCATGGAGCCCCCTGTCCCCACATCTCATCCCCGGGCCTGAGCACGGAGGCACTGGCGGACTGACAGTGGCCCTGTGCACCCCACATCCCCTGTGCCTTGCTTGGAAGGCCCCCACCCCTCAAAGCCCTTCTCCTGAAAGGCTTCAGGCTGGTACGGACACTGCAAGTGAGGAGGAGGGGCCAGCTCACAGTGCTGCCTTGAACGCGTTAGGTCGTGGGTTCAAATCCCTGGTGTAGCACATGCACAGCACGGAATCCTGGCCGCTCTGCTCTCTGCTCTCCCTGGAACCTTAAATAGTTTCTGGCCACACCGCAGCCCGGTGCGTTTAAGCCCCCCACAAAGGGCCATGAGTCCCAGAAGACCCTGCCTGGGAAATGTAACCCCTGGCCAAGTGAGTGAACCCCACAGAGACCCCAACACTGTAGCCGCTCTTGGGGGTCTCATTCAGCTGGGACCCCAGTACACATAGCCGAGAGCACAGAGGCCCACTTTCCTGCCTGCGTGTGCCCACAGAACCATGAGCTGCTCTTTGAGGCCATAACAGTCACAGTCACGGTCACGGTCCTCCCGTTGTTCATCGATTTGCTTGAGCGGGCCCAGTAACGTCTCTATCGTGAGACTTGTTACTGTGTTTGGCATATCGAACATGTCACGGGGAGCTTGCCAGGCTCTGCCGTGTGGGTGAGATACACTCGGTAGCTTGCTGGGCTCTCCAAGAGGGGTGGAGGAATCGAACTCGGGTCGACCCTGTTGGCCGCTTGTAAGGCAAACGCCCTACCACTGTGGTATCGCTCCAGCCCTCATAACAGGGCTCCATTTTCCCAGTGCCAGCCCTGTGCTCAACCTGTCTCTTCTCTCGGCTCCCTCCCTCCATTATTATCTTGGTCCCCCCACCCTCCGTTATTGACACCCTTGTCCTGATGTCCCTAATGGCCTTGAAGACTAATGGGCAGAGACGCATTTCTCTGCTACAAAGCGTGCAGTCCAGAGAGCTTTGGGGTGCCGAGATTGCTCTCACTCACCAAAGCCTGTGTGTCGAGGCAGGTGCCTCCTGGGACTGGCAGGGGAGAGCAGTGAGGAGTGTGGCAGGCTGGTGACAATTAGCTGCTTCTCCTTGCCAGCCTGTCACCACCACAGGCAAGTCCCACGCATGCCCAGTGCCTCCATTTCCTCATCTATAACACCGGAATCTCGATGCCCTTCACCCCGCGGGGTGCTCGGTAGGGTTAGATGAGTGAGTGGAGGCAGTTGTGGGCCTGGACTAAGATGGAAGAGTCACGCTAGAGAACAGGCAAATGGTGGAAGGCTGGGGAGGGCTCAGAGGCCCGCAGCCAGGCCTGGATTGCAGTTCTGAGGCCCCCATTGATTCCCCGCCCAACACAGTTCCTGAGCTAATGGGGGAAGACCTGCACAGACTGAGTGAGGTCTGAAGCCTTTTGGGCGGAACCCGCCCCCCCCAATAGACAACACAAGCTGACCTTGAATGCATGCCGGGTGAGAGAGGCCAGCGGCAGAAAGCCACCTTTTGTGTGATTCTGCTTATCGGAAACATCCGAGTGGCACATCCGGAGAGAGAAAGTGCTTTGTGATTACCAGGGCGCGGGGGTTGGGGGGGGCGGAATGATAGCTGATGGGGGTGATGGGAATGTTCTGGAGCTAGAGAGGTCAGAGCAGCCCAGCTTGGCGACTGTTCTGAGCAGTGCCGAGTTGCCTGCTTTTTAGGAGGGTGAGTTGTAGTTAGGGTGCTGGCTTTGTGTGCACTGGAAAGCATGAATTTTGTTACCGAACCGTGGTTGCCAGTTACTGATCGTTGAGTCTGAGCCACAAGATCCCACCATCAGTGTCAGCTTCTCTGTCCCCCCCCCCCCCGTGCCCCCATGCGCCCTCCCCCACGCCACCTGCCACCTTGCCCGTCACGTTGCAAAGTTCAGTGGTTGTGGATCTCATTGCTTCAAGGGATGCCGAGTCCGGGCTTTGGATGGACAGCTCTGCCACTCTCCCGTGTCACTTTTGGGGATCTTCCCCCCAAACCTAATGACATTCATTCCGCAGGACACGTGTGCGTTTTGGTTTGTGTAAGGCCACGCCTGACTGTGCTCAGGGGTTCCTCCTGGCTTTGTGCTCAGGGATCCCTCCGGGCGGGCTCGGGCACCGTGTGGGGGTACCTGGGGTGGAACCTGGGTGGGCCGTGTTCGTGGCAAGTGTCCTGTCACTCTGGCCCTTGGCACTGTGCTTTCAGCAGCGCTGCGTTTAGGGGACCTCTTGGAAGGGGGGGGGTGTGCGGCCCCTGATGCCAACCCATGCACCACACAAAACCCAAACCCAGACCAGCAGGGTGTGATGTCAGTCGAACCAAGGGAACAAGTGGCTGCGGTGGGCTTCGGGCGGGGGGCACCAGGCTGCTCTCCAGGCTGCCTTAGGTTCCTGGGTCTGCAGAGGGTCCCAACGGGGTTGACTGAGCCGAATTGCTGCAGCTCACCCACCTGAGGTCTGGAAAGTTCTGGGGGGGGGGGGGCTTGACTTCCATTTTCTGGCTCCTCTGTGGACTGTGCCTCAGAGACAGTACACTAGAGTGACTGGCCCCCTGCACTCCCGGGCTTGGAGTGTCACCCCATGGGGTTGGCTCTGTGGCCCTTTCTCCCCACTCCCCCAACCCCTGGCATCATTGCCAACACCAGTGAGCTCTACTTTAGGTGGTTGATGATTTACCCGGGAGATTAGCTGGCAGGTAGGTCACGTGCTGTGCATGTGACTGGGTTCAATGCCAAGCACCCCATAGAGTTGCCAGAGCACTGCCAGGAATGAACCCTGAGCATCAGCAAGAGTAATCTCTGAGCACTGCAGAGTGTGCCCACAAAAAAAAAACCTCCCCCATAAAAAGAACAAGAAAGGAGGGAGCTGCTGGAGAGGGAGCACAGAGTGGGAGGCGTGTGCCGACCTGGGGAGGATCTCGGTAGGCCTTAAGGCTCCCCAAGCCTTCCAGAGTGATCCCCGAGTATAGAGACAGGAGTAAGCCCTGACCAAGCCGGGTGGAGCCCCAAAAACAAAATAAAAAAATATTCACTCGACTTGATCACTTGACATCCCGTTACTCATCGATTGGCTCGAGCAGGTGCCAGTAATGTCTCCATTCATCCCTGTCGCGTGCTAGTGTAGCCTAACAGCATCTGCTCGATCTAGGAGCACAAAGAGCCTCACACTGATCGTTCAGGGTCTTGACGAAGAAGCCTGACCATCTTGTGGGTGGGCGGCCACACAATCTTTTGACATCCCGTGGAATCCAGTCGGTAATGGCTCTAGTTCAGCGGTCGTCTCCAAATCGCATTACGTGTCCAGCCCATCTGATTTTCGATGCTTTGGCAAACGAGACAATGTCCCCGATTCTTGACTGTTGACGGAGGTTGGAGATCGGAACTCCGAATTCTTTTTCTCACTTGAGTGAAGCGAGATACTCCAAGCATAGGAATCTTTCGATTCCTCTTTGGGAGACCCGAAGAGCGGGAAAAAAAAAATTTAATTATTTTTTCTGTGGTGCCATCATGGAACTTGGGATCTCTCATATGTGCCAGGACAGTGATCTACCCATACCCAAGAGTCAACCTCAGTGCTCCTCAGAGCAGGTGGCACCTCTGAGGACAAAGAGGCCTTTCACCCTCTCTGGTGGCGGCGAGG